TCATAAAAGGAGAAACTGGATGTGGAAAAAGCACGCAGGTAAGGAAAGCGATGTGCATATGAGCCTCAGGCCTACGCCTATTAAATTGATTGGGCTTTCAGGTTGTGCAATATTTGCAAGAGCATTTCCTCCTAAGTGGACGCGGAGCTGAATTTAACGCTTTCGTATCGCAGCCAAGAAGAATATCGGCAATATCGCTAGCCGAGCGAGTGGCTGCGGAGAGAGGAGAGGAGTTGGGAGATTCTGTTGGCTATGCTGTCAGGTAATTCGCTTCTCCATCCTACGTTTCCCCTCGTCCCATGGTGGGGTCTTTTGAATGTGTTTTTCGAGTTCAAAATATAGCTTGAATTTCAATTAAAGGTTCGATGGTGTTTCTCCTCGTCCTTATGGTGCAGTGCTGTTCTGTACAGTAGGAGTGCTTCTGAGAAAGATGGAGAGTGGTCTTCGTGGCATATCCCATATAATTATCGACGAGATTCATGAACGCGATGTGAACGTGAGTTTAGAAGTGTCAAGGTTGAACGACAATTGTCTCAGTTGTTGGGGGGGGGGGGGTTGTGGCGGGAATGGCTTAGAATATGCTTGCATAAAATGAAAGAGGGTAAAAGGCTATTCAGTTGGCTAATTGTGTGCTAGTGAAGTTGAATTGGCGGAAAAGTTTCCTTTTTTCACCTCAGGCTTCACTGCCATAAACAAGGTAGCTGGACCCTGCTTCAGTGCCTCTTGTTAGGGCCACGTTCTGAGCTTTCGTAGAATTGGTCAGGTTGATGTCTTGATTATAGACTGACTTCATTCTGATTGTATTGCGGGAGATGCTCCGTGAATACGCTGATCTGCGCGTAGTGTTGATGTCGGCAACAATCGACACTGGGATGTTCATTGAGTTCTTTGGTGGTTGTCCTATCATCGAAATGGAAGGAAGAACATTCCCCGTGAAGCGTAAGTTCATTTCGGTGCTCAATTCGCTAAGTGCAGCTGCAAATCCTTTTTCGAGAAGACTGCTAGGGTGCAAAATTTTTCAACTCTCTCTGACTTCGTTGAAACGTCATGAAACAAAACTGGCTTCTCAACTGATTTCCACCTACCTAATGCTATACGAGAGCGAAGAATGTTTTTTTCTCTTCTATGAGCATACTAAGCTACGAATATATTATAGATTCTTCCTCGAAGACTTCAATCATATTGAAATAATGCGCCCCACCGAAAAGAAAGAAAAAAAGATGCAATGTAGAAAAGAGCAAGTCTGTTAATCAACAAAGAGCTAAACTGTCGCAACTCAATAATGTTGACGTTCAGGGACGAAACTTAACATTCTCACTGAGATGTTAGTCGATTGAGAGAGCCATGGCAAACCTCAGTGAAAAAGAAATTCCTCTGGGTGTAATGAGGTCTGTTTTCCATCAATATTCGTAGTGGTCCCACCTCGTAATGACCTTTTTGAAGCAAATGCGACAGGATGAGTTTTCGCGTTTCGTAGCGCGAACATTTCGTCTGGGAACTCATCTTTCAACTCTTCATTTCAACGTTCGATCGGAACGATTGAAAAGATGTGAACAATTTAATCTTGTATTCTTCTAAGTAATGCATAGCATTCAACGAACAAGTTGTGAGAGAGCTGTAGTATCTTTGATAACAGACAACAGTTCAAATAAAGGAGATATGGCGTTGCTGGTTGTTCGCTATCGATATAGATACGGAACCATGGAACATGTCTTGTAAGATTGCAGAAAACGCGATAGACTTCTTGATAGTAGGTTCTGCATGCTGCAGGGAATAGATGTGGGTGGCGAGAAGATGGCAACTGAATAATCACCTGTCAGGCTTTCCAGGAATGCTGACAAAACTAAGTGCAATTGCACACACATTCCTTACTCTGATTGATAATTTCAACTTCTTCCTTCCTTACGGATTTTGTTCATTCAACGATAAAATGGTGCCGACATCCCTACTGTAACGATAAAAGGGTGCCGACCATTCCATCTGTTTTCAGCGAGTCATCACCAATCATAAATTGTTACAATGCTTGATACGGTGGTGTGGTCATGTGATTATTTAGGTAAGTCTATGAGCGGTAGCTTTTGCTTTGGAAATTACTGCTTTATAGTTCCTAACACCTTCTTCAAAAAAACTCAGCCTTATTCAACGTTCAACATTTTTGCTTCTGCCCCGTGAGGCTTTTCGGGGGAACCATTTCTCCTAGAGGAAAGTACGGTACGGCTGTTGTAATTGTGTGCATTAGAGTAGATGCTAATCCAGAGTTCCTAAAGAATTTTTTGGGACTGGTACGGGTTGAACAGGTTAGATTAGGCGCGAATCCCCTACGAGCAGTGTTGATGCTATTTCTCCTTTGGAGCGCATCTCATTTTTTTCAAAAAATTTTCGCATGGAGTTTTTAGGCCATATTGAACGATATCGCGCAACGTGGAGAACCTGGATCAGTGTTGGTATTTTTGCCTGGATGGAATGAAATCATGCTTGTCATGAATTTCCTCAACAACCATTCGGAATTCTGTATGTTCATTTTTTGCTGAATTTTGCTCTTTTACCCGCTTCTAGAACTGAATGGAATTTGTTATCAATTCCAGCGAATAAATCGAAGTATGTGATTCTGCCCCTTCATTCGCAATTAACTGGAATGGAACAGCGAAAGGTTTTTGATCACTATGGCGATAACATGAGGAAGGTAAGACATTTATGCGTGTTTATTCGTTCTTTTTTCCGACCCGTCGCCCTGTATGTTGCTGACTGCCCGCGATCCAAGGAAATGGGAGCTGTCTCGGTGTTATGGAGATGAAAATGTTGCGTTAGCGGGCATCACGCGATTGAACCGCATTTGCAACGATGTCGTACGCAAAAGTTCTGTACGGCCTCTATAGTTGACAAAACTTTCGACGAGATGCGCTTTCGATGGTACGCTCATGTTCTCCTGGCGAAGGCTGACACCGCTCATAAAACTGCCCCCGCTCGAAGTGCCTGGAAAGGACGAAGGATGCCCCATGCTCTCAAGAATGCTGGCTCGTTACGCTACCTACTGAC